CGGCACGGCGCTGCTCGGCTGGCGTTCGGTCGCGCGCGCGCTCGGTCGCGCGCTCGCTCGCGCGCGCGCCGTGACCGCGCAGGGGCGGCAGGCAACGCAGGCCAGTCGAACCTGATGACCCGTTGGCTGCACACTCGGCTGCCCCTCTACCCCAACCCTGGAGCAGAAACACGAAATATCCAGGGAACAAATTCAAAACCCCAAATCCTGTAATCTAGACCCTCAGATCTAATCCATATGCTGTGATCCATGCAGCCCCGACGAAGCGCGAGCGACAGCCCCCCGCCCAAAAAAGGCGGCCCCGACCGCACCTCCCGGACTTCCGCCCACCGCGCCCTCAGCCGCTGCTTCACACCCAGATCTCCCAGCGCCGCCGGCGCCGCCGGCAGCGCCGCGCGGCCCGCCAGCTGCCACTTGGCGCGACGCCAAAGGCCCGCATACGCGGCGTCGGCGGCGGAGGGCTGGGGGTCTGAAAACTTGGCGGTGCCGGCTGCCAGGGCGGCAGCTTCCTCGTCAGTCAGCTCGCGGTTCAAATGCTCCGCCCAGCTGTCGGCGCCCCCGGCCGCGTCGCCGGCCCCCAGGCCCGCGCCCGCGGCGTCTCCGTCTGCGGTGGCGCCCCCGTCGTCCTCGGCTGCCGCCGCATGGGCGCCGTTGCCGTTGGCGGCGGCCCGCTGTTCCCGCCCCTCCTCCTCCGCCGCCTGCTGCTGCTGCTTCTGCTGCTGCTGTTGCTGCTGCTGCTGCTGCTGCTGACCCAGCCCCTGCTTGCCTTTCTCAGGCTGCCGCGCGCCTCCCTGAACCTTGCCTGGCTTGCTGGCAGCAGCGTCCCCAGCGCCCCTGGCCTCATACTCATCCTGCAAGGCAGGGTCGCAGCAAGTGCGGCCCTTGTCCTGAGCCGCCGCAGCTGCTGTGAGGTCGTGACGTGCGGCAATTCAAACGCAGGCAGTGCACTGCGCATGCATTAAAGCATAGCTGCAAGCGCTGCATGGAGCGATGTGACGTTCACGGCCTGTTGGCTGCAAATCGTCGTGTCGCATAGGGGAGCAGCAGCAGTGCGCACCTCGCTGTCGTCGCTGCTTTCGCCACTTTCGCCCCCCTCCTGGTGCTGCCGGCGCCGCAGTGCCGCTGCCATGGGGTTGTCCTGACGCGATAGAAGCCCCACGAGCTCGTCGTATGCTCCCGACGCGTCTGGTACGCCGTCATCTTCGTCACTGGCTGCTGGTGCGATGGCCGCCTCCGCCAGAGCTTTCTTCGCACCCCTGACATCTTTCTGATCGCTGATACCGTTAGCTGCCTGCACCTTGCGCTTCTTGCTGGGCTTTTCAGGCGCAGGCGGCCTCAGCTTGCCCAGCACGGCCGCTAGGCGGCTCATGTTGGCCCGTGATCAAGTGCAAACGGAAAATTACCGTTCGAAGTGTGGTCAGGGATCGCACGGGCTGCAGTTAAGGGCACGAAAATCCAACTGTGGCTGAACGGTGCCGCGTAGCGTCACTGGTGGCCGCCGCACTCAATGCGTTCTCGCGGCTCATTGCCAATGCGCCAACACGCTCTTAAAGATACGGAATCATACGCTGCTTGTGCAATGCCGCAAAGGGGCGGTCGTCCCTGCCAGCCCTTGGTGAGCGGTTGCCACGCACGAACGCTGCCATGGTCAACCCTACGCGCTGGCAACTTTGACTTCAACATGCGGCCCCTGAATCCTGACGATAGCCCCCTGCCGATTAGCAACCTGCACAATTCCAGTGAAGCCATCTGAAATCACTGAGACTTGTCAATTTACAACACCCACCCGTCAGCAACGCAGCAATTTAGGCCGCTTAGCTCCCACACCACATCTCACCATCAGTCGCCCTCACCCCGACAACCCCCCCATCTCACATGCGGCACCGCAGCAACCCCCAACATGCATGCACGCACGCACACAACCATGCCCCCCATTGTCAACTCGAAACAAATCGTGGCAGCAGGCCGCTGGGCCTGCCCTCTGCCCTGACCCCTGCTCGCAGCTGACAGCACCACCCATCTCGCCTCGCCCTCCGCTCCGTACACCTAGCCCTCCCCTCCCCCCTCCTCCCCATCCATGTCGGCCGCCACGCACACCCAGCCGCCACGCACACCCGGCCGCCGCCCCCGCCGGCCGCCGCCCCGCGTCAGCCGGCGCGCGCCTCGTGCCCCAAGCTGCCGGCCACAGAGCGCTTCTCGTGAGTGCTCAGCTGGTCGTAGTGCTTGCCATACTTCTCCTGGTGGTGTCCCGGGATCCAGGTAGGCGGGGGTTTCGGAGGTTTTGAGTACGGCACACAAGGTCTTCTAAGGCTTGCTTGTGTCTCACAACCCTCTGGAGTGTCTCACAACCCTCCGGGTTCGTTGCGTGCTGAGCATACCATGCCCCGTGCAATCAATCAAGTGCAAACTAACGCTGAACATGCCGCGCTCAAAACAAGTAGGCCCTCAAATCACCTCAGATCATCCACCCCCAGATCACCCTCAGATCACCTGTGCCAGCTCCTCCATGCGGTCGTGGTGCGGCTCCTCCCCGGGCGGGTGCCCCTTGCCGCTCCCGTGCCCGCCGGCGCGGCCGCCGGTGTGGCCGCCAGCCCTGTGATGGAGGGTTGAAGTGGAAGGGAGGGACCGGGGCGCAAGGCACGCCAAGTTTGGGGCAGGAGCCTGGCGGGCGTCATTGTGACGGAGGGCTGCACACGTGACGGTGCGGCTCGGCGATGGGTGGCAATCAGCTGTGCGGTCGCGGGCGCACTGCAAGGGTATGCAATGATGCTCTGGCGCCGGCGCCCTGAGGACTGCTGGAGGGCGCTCGCAGAAGCGTATGCAGCTCAGATCTGCGTGGACGCCTCCCGCGGCGCGCATGGCACGGCGTGCAGCTGCGCGCGACCGCCGCACAGCGTCGCCCCGCGGGCCGCGCACTTGGCGGCGAGGGTCGGCGCCTCCTCCTCCTCGCCCTCGGCGCCGGACTTCTGCGGAGGGGGTATGTGTGATGTGAAAAGGTGGCAAGATTGTCAGGGATGGCGGCGGCGGCGGCGCGTTCGGTTGGGGGACTTGGGCGTGCGTACGACCCTGATCAAGCGGCACAGGCAGAGGGCTGCGGCGGGTCTGGCCAAAACGCTCTTATCAACAGTTCTCAAGGCACGTGCACGAGATCCCGTAGGCAACGACGCAGCATGCGTCGCGCGGCGCGCACGGCGACGGCGTGCACGACAGCACCGGCTGTTTGGCAGGGTTTCAATCAACAACCCCCCTTTCTGTTTGAAGCGCCGACCCCGCCCCTCCCGCCCCCCGCGGGCCCGCGCACCTCCTTGCGCAGAGCCTGGCCGACTCTTCCCCCGACAGACCTGCGAGCGCGGGGGCGGCGGCGGTCGCCCGCGAAAACAGTGGGCACCCCCGCAGCATATAAGGCGGCGCACGCGCCCGCCCCGCAGCGGCGGGCGCGCCGCAAGGCTGCCGCGTGGCGGGTCGCATGCGTGCATGATGGCTTTTGATAGCGTGTCGGGGCGCGCGTGGCGCGTGGCGCGTGGCGCGTGGCGCGTTGGGGGGCGCTTTTGGGTGGGCGGCGGGCGTGCGCGCGCGGCGGCGCTCACTTGCGCTCCGGGCCGGACAGGTCTTCGAAGGACTTGCCGTACTTTTCCTGCATAGTTCAGAAAACAGCAACTAGGTTGAGGTTTTGATCAAGGGGAATTACCAGGTAAAGCAATGCAGGCGCACAGGCCCGTGTGCCAACCCATATGAATTGCCGCGCTCCCTTTTGGACTGCCGCCGGGCGGCGCACGACTCGCAACTGCACGCGCGGCGCGGGCGGGCGGGCGGCGGCGCCAGCGGGGCGAAGCACGCGGGGCGGCGGCGCGCGGGGCCCGCCCGCGCGCGCGAGCGGGGCAGGGCTCTGTACGCTTCAGGGGCCCGTGCGGGGGAGCGGTGATGTCACCTCTGATATCCTCTCCCTGAGCTCCTACTTGTGCTCCTCAGACGACATACTGTATGCAGGGCTTCGAAAGTGCTTTGTCAAAGTTCTGATGCAATCAGATTGGCAGCGAAACAGGAAGCCTGTCTGGGGCGTTGGTATGTCTCAGGCTGAACGCCAGGCGCACGAATGGCGGTATGGGGAGTCGATGAATGGTTTTTGCCCTCCTGCGGGGCCGAGTGCCGCCGCGAGGTGTTGGGGGCGGCGTCACTCATGATTATGTCAGCGCCTCGCGGGCGGTCGGGTGCGCCGCCAGCCGAGGAGCAGGCTCGTCGGCGCCGTGCCGCAAGGGATCTTTGCCATGTCACAATATGAACAGCTTTCCTCGGTCTGACGGTGGGCCGACACTCGATTTCGGCCAAGTAGTGCGGTACCAGCACCACACTCGGCCTGTGCGGGTGGGGTGGCGACTTCGGGCGAGGTGCTCACGCACCTTCAAAGGTATCGTAACCGCGACTTGTCTGTGCCCCACTGCGTATTCGCTGCAGGACACCGTGTGCCTACATTCACAGCAGGAACCCCACACAGACCAGTGCAGATCACCGGGACCTGATCTGTTCGACCCACCGGACCAGCCTCTACACCTCAGCTGACGCGGTCGCTTATATATCACCGAAGCGCATACATATACGTTTTTTGCCAGCTCGATCACGCACTCGGGCCATTGACCTGCACGCGCCACCATGGGTGCGTCCCGCGAGCCACACGCTGAATAAACAAGGGGTTGGCTTTCGAAACCTGTGGAAGGGCTTCGCACGACGGTTGGCGCCAGCGCCCTTCCCACCCCGCCTCGCTGGCATCTGCGCGCGCCGCGCGCAGCGGGGCGCATCGCCCAGGCGCTTCCGACCCGCCGCGCCCCCCGCCGCGCCGCGCGCCCGCAGGCAACATCTGCTGCGGCGTGCAGTGCTGTGCCTGCATCGACAGCGGCACGGTCGGGTTCGTCGAGAGCTGCGGTGCGCGCAGGGCCGCGGCCACATGGCGCCGCCGGCAGCTGCCCATGAAACGCCATGCAAGCCGGACTCTCTGCATGTTGTCGGCAGCGGGAGGGCAGCTGCATGGGCCGCTTGCATCCCGCGTCAGCACGCTCATGGCGCTAAGCTGACGCTGCGCTGCATGCAACGCCCGCGCAGGGTCGTTCAAGCGCGTGGCACACCCAGGGTTCAACTGCATGAATCCATTCCTCTGGTAGGCACAAGCCTTCCATCTGCATGACGGGCCTATGGGCACGCATGTGCACTCTGTGCTGTTGCGGAGGCCCCACAGTAGGCGACGCCGCCGCCGCCGCTGCAGCGAAAGCAGCGGCAAAGCAAGCGTCGAATGCGCACGCGCGCGCCTTGCGGCGAATGGAGAGCGTCCTTCGCGCAACGGCGGCGCCAGCCGCGCGCAGCGCCGTTGCCACACCCCCTTGATCCGCCCCCTGCCGTCCAAACTCGCTCCATGTTGAGTATTGACGTTGTGTGATCTCAACCGGGCTCACAAAATTTGCTGTGCAGCGAGGAGATCGCGGGGTACCTTACTATGAGGGTGCAGCAGCTGGATGTGTCTTGCGAAACAAAGGTATGCGCCCCCCAACGCCCCACACCCCCCGCACGCCGCCCCGCAATCCGTGCTGCCTCGGGGCCTAGGGGCGCCGCTGGTCCGCACGCGGCCAGGGGCGCCGCTGGTCCCCACGTGGCCAGGGGCGCAGCGCAGGGGGCCCCGCGGGCCGTCGGCGCACCGCCTGCTGCGTCCGATGCTCCGAAGCCCCCGAAGAAACCCAACCACACACACGCACGCACGCACACGCACGCACGAACACCCACACACACGCATCCATCCAACTCAGCAACAACGACACGCGCTTTTCCTGCGCCACCCATCACCACCCCCACCCCCCTCAGACCAAGGACAACGTCTTCACCACCCTGGTCGTCTCTATTCAGTACCAGGTCGTGCCAGAGTCACTCTACGAGGTGTGATGTATGTGTGTGTGAGATCATGCGCGCGCGTTGTGCGTGTGTGTGTGTGTGTGTGCGTGTGTAAGGGGGTTGCGGGGGTGGCCTGGGCCTATGTTGGGCTAGACGCACGATCATGCTGGGGGTTTCCGTGGTAATGTGTGTTGTCGTGTGTGTGGTGTGTGTGTGTGGTGTGTGTGTGTGTGTGTGTGTGTGTGTGTGTGTGTGTGTGTGTGTTGGTGGGCTTTGCAAGCCCACGCGCGCATGCGTTTTCCTCGCGTCGTGTGTGTGTGTGTGTGTGTGTTGGTGGGCTTTGCAAGCCCACGCGCGCATGCGTTTTCCTCGCGTCCCCACGCAAGCGCGGGCGCGTTCCTCATCCCCGCCGCTCGCGCCAAACAAATTGCTACCTCCACCC